AAGAAAAAGAATTTTTATAAAATTGTAGTACCTAAATCTTTAAGATTAAAATTGTTGAATAAAACCCATGAAAATTTTGGTCACCCGGGAGTTCAAATTATGCTTAACTTAATCACCCCTCAATATTATTGGCCTCATATTAGCGAAGATATCGGAAATTTTGTTAAACATTGTCATACTTGTCAACTTAATAAAAAGAAAAACAAGAAAAAATTTGGTCTTATGCAAGACGTACCCCCAACCGACAAACCTTTCGAATGTCTCTCTATTGACACTGTGGGAGGATTTAATTATTATAATTCTACAAAAAAATATTTACATATAGTTATTGACCATGCAACAAGATATGTCTGGGCTTTTCCCTCTAAAAGTGTAACTTCAGAAACCTATGCCAATTGTCTAAAACAAATATTTCAAATACAAGTCCCCGAAAAAATTCTGAGTGACAGGAATGCAGCCTTCACTTCCTCTAGATTCAAAAAATTTCTTAAAAAGCATAATGTTAAACAACTTTTAACTTCATCTCACCATCCCCAGACAAATGGTAAAGTAGAAAGAGTAAATCAATCAATAGTAAGTCGACTAAAATGTAAAGTAAAGTAAATTCTTCTTCTAAAAAAGTACCATGGACTAAAGTGCTAGAGCAAGTTGTTATCGAATATAACAACTCCCCTCATACGGTAACTAAGTTCACCCCAGCATACTTACTATTTGGTAACCTCCCTTTTGAATCTCCAATTGATCAAAATAAATACCCTTCCTTAAATGAAGCAAGGGCTTTAGCAAAGAAAAGAACTATCGAATACCACCGAAAGAATAAAACTAGATATGACATCAGATTTGTAGAATCTAAATTTCAACCTGGAGATTTTGTCCTTTACGAGGAATTTGAATACCCAAATACTAGAAAATTGACTTCACCCTATTCAGGCCCTTATCGGATTATGAATAAATTATCTGAAGTTAATTATGAAATCGACAGGGAAAATTTTCACACGAAGAAACCAACTGAGATTGTACATGCGTCAAAATTAAGGTTCTATTATCCACCCGAGAACTTTAAATTACATCATGAATAAATCAAAATTTATAAATCAATAAACTATCCATAACCCTTCTTTTAGTTTTCATCCTGTTGTCCCCCTTAATAGTTGATTTATCTCTCAGTGTCTGAAAAGTTTGTCTGCCCTTTTCTTTTACTGGGCTCCTTCAAACTTGAGTTTCAGGTTCAATGCACTTTCCGTGTGGGAAACACTCAATTGAGGCTATACTACAAGTAGAGTACTATACCCTCACATTTCCTTGAGCTCATGTTTTCCTATGTTTGTGTTATAAATTGTAGCAACAGTTGAAAAAGTTAAATTTCAGTTGTTGAAATTTCTGAATTTCATTTTATGTTTCTGCAGCAGCATCGTGTACAAAAAACTGGTATGGATGTTGGAAGTTAAATTTTGTTTTGTTATCATTAATAAGAGAAAAATAGAGTGACAAAATATGTTAAAAACCTAGCAAAATGTGTATTTTCAACAAGAGTATAAGAGCTCTAGTATCGTGACATAAAAACTCAAATGTTTTCAGTGCCAATGCTAATCCATAATTCTAGCGCTAATTAAATGATCCGGAGATCTCCAAAGACCAGTAAAAGACTGAAGATGAGCCTGAATGACAACTCTAATGATTGTACGGACTCATACACAAACTGTGAATGGCATGCCCTAAGATATAAACTTACAAATTCAGTTATATTACTATTTCCTATTGCCGCGTAGCTAACCAGCAATATGTTATTAGTGCTTTATTTGTTCTGCACTTAGTTACTATATTATAATTTCATTAATCATTTATTATATTTTATATACTGTATTAATTATATTCAAATATTTTATGTCATATTTTATGTAAACATTTTGTGTGCCTTGAGGTAAATCCAATCAGTTTTCCTACTCACTTAATTTCCTAATAACTAAATTTTCTGCTCTCACTATCTGGACTGTCTTGGGTCGACGGCCGCGACTGCAAGCCTTTTCAGATGGGGGGGGGGGATAATCTGTAATGATATTTTTAAATCAATTGATTAAATTAAATTCTATTAATATTGCTTAATAATGTGTGTTGGCGATTCTCTACCTAAATTGCATCCCTGTTCCTAAATTTTGGCGAAATCCTTTCTTTAGTATAAAATATATTAACCTGTTGGCGCCCGCCAAATCGCCAAACTCATAAATCTGTCATATTACATAAAGTACTTAAGAACACTCCTGATGAGAAGATAGCGTCACCTCGTGATTTCAATTAATATCGCTGATTGGAGGAGCCTCGTGACGTACACATATGTATAAGTAGGGCTTCTGCTCAAGGTACGAGGAGAACGCTTGTGAGATGGATGCTAAAATAAACCTACCACTTTATATTCCAAAATTTGTCTCATTCCTGTTGCCCCGGCTGCACAAAACAAATAATGTATGAGAAATTACATTTCATATATTATACTATAGAGAAAGAGTTAAAAAAATTGAAAAAGACCTCGAGTTTGCAAGGAAATGCCTTAAAGTTGATGGATTAAAAATTAACGTTTAAAAGTTAACCATAAATCTCCTCGAGGTGCTCTTATTCGGGTGGAGGACTACGTTTTTCAGAATTTTATGATACCGTTGTTTTTTTTACAATGCGAAAATTATTACATTCATGCAGATTATTCATTATGTAATTTCTTGAAATATAATACAGGGCGATAATATTTGGTGGCAACAATTTGAAAAGTGATTCAGACTTTTAGAGTGATTCAACCCAAAATCCCGTTCTGAGACTAATAGCTCTTCTGAGCTAACGCTCCTCTTGGGATAATAATAATAATAAAAAAGTGAAAAGCGAACTTTTTGGATAAAAGAGTATGTTTCACGAACAAAGGTTCAGCAGAACTCTAATTTTTTCGGATGAATCCAAATTCAACTTACATGGATCGGACAGCAAGCGGTATTTTCGGAGACATAAAAGTGAAGATTATGTTCCAGATTGCATATTGCCTAGTGTGAAATTCCCAGCGAGTCAAATGGTCTAGAGATGCATATTCATCAAAGGAGTTAATGCCTGAAATTTATTACTTGAACTGTGAATGCATCAGTGTATACACAAAGCTTGAAGTTGTATTTAAAGCCAGTTGTTGTGGATCATTTTAAAGATACTGCAAATTGCATTTTTCATTAGAACTCTGCACCCTGCCATACAGCGCAATCGGAAAGTACAATCTAACTTATTTATGCATGATTTTGTTGCCGCATTTACAGATTTCTTGTCCACAACATAACAGATATTATAAAATTTACTTCTTACTTCCCTCTTTCAAGTGCAGGCCTATATTACAAAAATCTAGTATACACGTTTTGAACTGGCCTGGAAACAGCCCTGATCTGGAAATTGTAGGAAATTGGATCTCGCTGGAAATTGTTGGCATTTAATGGGTATCAAAAGTGCTGCTATGAAGCCTGCTATTAAGATTAAATCTCAGGAAAGCTTTATTAGGGTTTGGTTTCATGAACCTGCCCAGGATTATTTTCAGAAGTTGGTATCTTCTATGCCGGACCGTGGAAAGCTGTCATCGCAGCTCGTGGAGAACAGGCTAAATATCGAAGTGATTCTTTATGAGTGTATACATTCTCCAATTTCGGTCTTTCTCGGTAATATATACACATCTAAGTACATGCAATGTGACTGCAATTATATGTAGAATTTAACTACAAAATTTGTGTTTCATTTACTTTGTTCCACGTTTTGATAAATATTGCATTTTCATTCGTTTTCATTTTTCTGAGTAATTAAGCGAAAATAATTTATTAATTTTCATAAAACTTCAGACAAATTTATTTTATTGTAACAATATGATCTTTACATACATATATATGAAACACATAATTTACTCACATCTCCACATTTTGACACCTAGTGACGCATAGTTCCAACAGTGACACATAGTTTTGATGCTGAATTAATTCTTTTTTTTTTTTTTTTTTTTTTTTTTTTTTTTTTTTTTTTTTGTTCTAACTCGGAAACTTTTCTACATAATGCAGAAAATATGTATGTACAATGATGTTTTGCGTTACACTTTAATGAAAATCTTGATTTCCAGTACGAGCACTGTCGCATTACCAAAATTTAATTCCTTTATAAAAAATCAAAAGCATTAAATTAAAAGATTAAAAAAATCAACCAGCAACACTATTTAGTTGTGTGATATTTACTTTTATCATTGCTAGAATAACTAGGATTGATTAATTTAATTTTTATTTTACGGATATGTTAGTGTAAAATTCCGACGACAGCACAATATCACGATAGAAGTAGATTTGACAGTTATTTTTAAAAAAAAAAGAAAATGTGACATGTACTACCTAAATTATTCATTTTCGCAGATTAATTTTTAAATTTAATGAGAAAGATATTTTATATTTATGTTTAGAACTTTGCATTAAGCGTCCACTTCTTTCTTATGCGCCATTTTTCGACTAAGCTTCTAAACAAACACCCTAGAAAAGTTTGATCATTGCTAGAACAACTAGAATTAATTTAATTTATTTTAAATTTTACTTTACGAATATCTTAGTGCGAAATTCAGATGGTAGCACAGTTTCACAATTTGATTTGCGAATTTCGCTTCCATACCGTTATAAATTTAGTATATTCTAACTGAATATGTTATGTAGTGTATATTTCAAATAACTGGGAAATAATTCAACATATAAACAAAGATGATTTGAGAGTTATTTTGAAACAAAGAAAATGTAATTTCTACGACACAAAATATTCATTTCCGCAGTCTAATATTCAAATTTAAGGAGAAAGATATTTTAGATTTATGTTTTGAACTTTGCATTAGAAGTCAACTCCATTCTTTTACGCCATTTTTCAATAAGTTTCTAGACAGATACCCTAGACAGGTTTGATCCTTTGTATCTCATTTTAAATACCTGAGTATTGATTTCAGAATAAGATATTTGCTATCTTACCTTGGCTTGACGAGAGCGCTCACAGTAATAATTACGAAGCACATGAAAAGTGTAGACAGCAGTGAATATTTAAATAAAGGATCTTTTTGCTTTAGGAATGGAACTTCTACTGATCTGTCATGGAAAGTCAGCAGCAATGGTTGAATGCCTTCTGGTTTAAACCACTGGCTGAAAAAAATGCGTTATTTTATCAAAAAAATGGGAAAACCGCAATTCATTTACAAATAAAATTTATGTTTAAATCAATCGCATATCTTGCAGCGATGCAAACAGATAAGATAAAACTTGCTGGTAATTATAATATAAAGTTCATATTTTAAAATGTTTCGAAATAAGAGCTACTACAGAGCCTGACTAAGGCAGGGGCATACGAGTTGCCACGGGATAGTTGCCCCGGGCAACCCACATCAGAGGGGGACCCCAAATTGAATAGGAAGTTTATTATTATAAAAATTTAAATACCTCTATAAAATTCGGTTCTTCATTACAACCGAAACATTCTGAAATAGTGAAGCAGAGGGGAAGAGACGTTTTTGCCCCGGGCGCCAATTAGGCTCATTCGGGCCCTAGCTACTAGTCAGAATTAATTGAAGTTTTGTGTAAATATTCCTGAACCAATCGAATTTTGTTTGGGGAAGAAAAAAATAGTTAAAATACTTACCGATAGGGGATTAAATTACTTTTCGTTACGCGGGAATGTGAAACAAATGTAATAAACATTCAAGAGTGACATAAGAAACCTTCGTTTTCCAATACAATCTGAATTTGGAAGATAGCGTGACCAAACTATAGATGATGCAGATACAATGCATGTTGCTAGGTTTCCTTCCGCTAAATTTGTAAATTTTTCAGGTATCGCCAAAGACAAAAGTCACATGAGTTCAAGTCTAGTGAACGTGCTGGACATATTGTAGAAGTTGATTATTCCTTTATGTCCAAAAGTGGCAGCTAAGTATAGCTACGCCACTGGTATTGTCGGCTCAGGCAATCTTTGTTGTTGATGCAAATAGGGACCCGCGGCTCTTGACGCTACCCTGGTGTAATGGTTAGCCGATTTTCTATTCTGTGTACATTACGAACAAAAAGTAATGACATAGTCCATTCAAGAAGAATCTGCAATTAAATAGCAAATTTTAGAAAATCAGTAAGTCCAATGTAGAACAGTTAAGGAGTCCAAACGAGACTTTTGCTACGGCTGTTGCTGATATACCAAGTCCAGCGAAGGAGAGTACAAATGAGTGAATCTTGAGACAGTGCGGAGTTTAAAAAGAAATGCACAGTATTCCAGGTGAGAGTCCATGATGATGTGTGACCCAATAATTGTTACATGACATAGGTGCAGCGTAAGCAGTTACATAAAAAATAAGTAAAAATCAAGAACCAAACAGATACATACTAAATGACAAATGAATGGGGGTATTATACAAACATAGAATAAACACAATATACACAAATGATGATATACGTAGCGGAGTACATGGAGTATACAGTAGACTGGTATTGTCAGTGACTGGTATTGTAGTGACTAGTATTGTCAAACGCAGCGGATTTCCATCTTACATAGGAATCATTGCAGCAACAGCAATGACAGAGTCGCAGTAATTACTGTTGCTGCAATGATGAAACAACGTGGTACTTCAAAAGAGATTCAAATTGTTAGCCTGAACCAAGGTCCTTCTCCTTTTCTAAAAGGGCCGACAGTAAATGCTACTGCAAATGGGAGTCACAAAATGATCGTTGGGGAATGAACAGGCATCTATACGTGCTCTCGTAGTATAAATACCAATTAGCAATTAGAAAACGCGTGGTTTGAATTCCAGCAGTGGCACGGACGACTAAACAGCCAACGGTTCACGATCGGCCTTCCTAGATCGGGGCTTCTTAAAAGTTTTTTCAATCGCGACCCATTTTTATCACTGAGATTTTTTTCCCGACCCCAGATATTAAATATAAAGTACAGATATAAAAATAAATATTCTCCCCTAAAGAATTCACTTCTTTTGTAAACAATATGCATATAAAATGAAGAAGTTTTAGGTTTTATTTTAAGCAAACAAAAATTAAAGAAAATTCTAATGAGACAGATGTGCTTGTTTTCTGCTACATGAGAGATTAAATGTTGGTGCGATATTTTACACTGCTGGGCATAAAGAATCTTCAACATGTTTCAACGTTGAACGACATTTGGTTTTAATTAGCGTTAAAGCTGAAAAAGTAGTTTTATAAAACTATATGATGCTGAATTAGAGAAGAAAATTTAATGCCATTTCAAAAGTAATGAGAAATTTAGTTCTAACTCATCCAGAATTCATCAAGAAGTTTTGTTAAAACTCAAGTTTTAAGTATGAATCGCTAGATAGTTTTACAAATTCCTTTTGAACTTTATATAACAGGTAATTAATCTCATTAATACCAATTAATGTAATGTCTTTAAACGTTTAATCTCATTAATGTCAATTAACGTAATTTTTTTTAAAGTCTTATATGCGGTTTCTTTATATTCAACTATGGAATTAAATTTTCATGACTCCAAGATTTCGAATTGCGCCGCATTTAGGGTCACCACCCATAGTTTAAGAAACTATGTCCTAGGTCAAAGATTATCTCAAAATAGTATTTTGATGCATGCAGATTGGACGACAGATAAGCTGAAGGAGAGATTTGGAGGTCTAAATAAATCCCAGTGTCATCTCTACCGGTTCTGCATCTATTCTACAGATGTGCACCTCCATAGTTGGAAGTAACAATAAGAAATTCTCAGTCTTTCCTGCATGAACCCAATACATCAAGTTTTTCACTTGGAAAGCCCAGCTGCAAAGTGTAAATATCTAACTTCAGTGACTTCAGATGGCCGTTACCCGGACAGCCACATGTACTTCATACGCCTTGAATCAAGCAGGAATGATTCAAAAACTCCGATAAAGTTTTCTGAATGCCTGTCCCATTCGAAGTCAGTAGTCTATGTGACGGAAATTTTGCAGCTATATTGTAACACAACATGGTACTAAGCAGTTGCTCATATTTCGATGTTCGTACTATGTAAAATAAGGTATCATCAATTCAGAATTGCTACAAATGGAGGCTGTTTTAATTGATACACAACACTAATTGAATAAAGGAGAGAAATATTTCTCTTTTAATGAGTTAAATAGTATAAAAATGGGTAAAACAGTCTATTTTTAAGAGGAACGGGGATACAGAAGAGAAGCCTTAAGAGACGTACTCTTTCTTACTTAGAGCCATAGCGTCGATGGCGGTCTCCATGAACTCGTTGACTTGACTGACCATCTGGCGGAACTGTAATAAGCTGTTAATAATAAAAAAAAAGCAATGAACATTCTTCGTTTATAAATGAACAGTGAAGTTAAAAAGATTTTCTTGCTTCGTTTGCAAGCAAGTGTTTAAATATTTTCTAAAAATATATATAAAAAAGTTGAAAAAATAATTTATTTCCACTCTAAAAGGTCATGTTTTGAGGTTGTTAAGTTACATATACAGCTTGGTGCAAATGTCGTACTTTCCATTAGATCACTTACAGTATTGTATAGTCATTTATTTCGCCATAACTATATGTTTTTCAATTCACAGAAAACTTTGAATTGCCTATGGAATTGTTTTTATGATGATATAGTATTTATCATGCTTAGCGTTGGTTTCACATTTCAAAATGCATCCAAATGCTCAAAAATACAGTTTTATACGAAGTTGCAGTAAACTGTATTTATAGAAATTTGCATTAAATATCTCTAGTTTTTCCACCAAGCTGTATTATACCTCTTACCTTTTCCGCAAAGTTATACATTTTACGTTTAAATTTTGCGACAAGCTTTACTTTAGGTGTTCTCAGCCAAGAGGGAATTTTCCCCTTAGTTACAGGAGGGATTTGCGGTTAAGCATTGTTTCTGGCTGATAAGTATTTATTTTTACTTTATTAATAAAAACCCCACAAAAAAAGGACAATGTATATGTATTTCAAAACCATTGCTTTATTTTATGTCACATATTTTGTAACAAGCTGCATAAAACCTTACAACCATAGAATTGAAGCAAATCTACACTAAGATTACTTTTACACTAAGATGTATTGTGTCTTCTAACTTCAAGAAGAATGAACTTTTAAAATTCGAATTAAAAATTATCTTTGAATATGTAATAATTACACCGCTGTTTATTAGAAAGGCGTTTTAAAACATACCAACATGAGCAGTTCTACATGAATATTAGTGTCAGGATTAAAAAATTTTAAGAACTAGTTTCCTACTCGAAAAAGTGATAAACTACATGCTAAGAAGCGATGAAGTTGAAATAAATGTTGAAATAAACAGTTCGCATAATTGAAAATATTTCATGTACTGGATTTACCGAATTAGCTGAATCTTACTACTGACCTAACTTCATATTAAAATTTATTACATTCCTGCTTTTGAGAAATATTTTATAAAAGTACTACAGGTTTACATAATTGCTATTTTAAGAAATGCTAATCATCTGATTCCATTTTATATAAATAATTTGATGTTCGTTTCTCAAACCGTGGTCCGCGGGCCCTTGTTGTCCAAAAATCAATCAGGGGTTCCCGAGCTATTTTTTAATCAAAAGTTGTCATTTAATTTCACAATGAACAACACTATGATAAAAAAAATCGGGTCAGTCCATAAGTTCGTGCGCATTAAGAGTATGCGTGGAATTCACTATGACGCATTTACTAAAACAATACAATTTTGAACCTGTTGACATATTATTCAGTTCATCACCAACTTTCGTAAATATCGAACGCATTTTAGTTCCCATAAAAGATGAATATAGATAATCAGTACAAACGTGCTGTGCTACATTTTTTATTTTCGTGTGGTGAATTTGCCAGGTTTGCAGCGATAAAAATTAATAGTTTACATGTTGAACACACTATTAGTGTAAGGACTGCCCAGAAATGGGTTAAAAAGTTTAAAGGTGAAAAAAGCAGCATAGATGATGAACCCCGTTCAGGACGTTTTGAACTGTTAAAACCAAATCAAACGATTCATTCAGAAGTTTATAGTGAACAAACTTTGCCGTCTAAACTCAGAATGGATCGGAAAACGCCCACGATGGGTAAATATTAAGAAAGTGTTGTTTCATCATGATAACGCTAGACCGCATACGACTCGAACAACGCTGCCAAAAATGAATGAATTTAATTGGGAGCTTTTGCCACATCCTGCTTACTCCCCAGATATTGCCCCAAGTGATTTTCACTTATTTCGTGCCTTACAAAATTTTTTCCTGGGGAAAAAATGAAATTCTAAACAGGATGTACGCAATGAACTTTAAAGATTTTTTGCATCAAAACAAGAGTCTTTCTACAGCAGTGGCATAAAAAAGCTGCCTGTAAGATGGAGAGGCATTGAAGATAATGGAAGAAAATATATATTGATTAAATTGTTAAATTGTGTTTTTTATATTACTTAAAAATTTACCAAAAAATGCGCACGAATTTATGGACTGACCCAATATAATGTACATGATTATTTAAAAAAAAAAAAAGTTTTAAAGTTCTATTATAATTCTCAAGCATGTTCACAAAATGAGTCACGCATAATCTGACAGTAAAGTTTCTAATTTTGGAATATTTGCCGGCAAGAATCTCTTGTGCACTGGGTACGTCATTCTCTTTCAGCGCTAAGTTAATTGTTGCACTCGGAAATACGGCATTTCATTCTGCGTTCTGAAAAAACATTCTGCGTTCTGGAGTGCGTGAATATTTCGCAGCTTCAAAATAGCAGATGTTTGTATCGTTTGACTGTAAGTCCTGGACGGCCGCGCATTTCGGCGGAAAAAGTGGAAAAGATCTGTGAAACGCTCCAGTGCATCGCACAGAAGTCCGCAACTCGAGACATATGTGAGTTTAGAATCCTTCAACTCTTTTAAAATATGTAATACAAAATAGAAAGCATCGCTATTATTAGGGGTTTCTATAATAATAGCGGTAGCGCTATTATTAGTTTCTGCATGGTTAAGAAGTTGAAGTTTTTTTCTTCAATTAAAAAAAACTCCTTAAAATCGAATAATTTTGGTTTTGTTTTTTGTATAATCCTGCATATTAATGATTAGAATTTGAGAAAATGCACATCGTTATGAAACATGTCCTCCAATTTATGAACAACTGTTGCTTTAACCAGTAGAATAATGTACTTTCTTCGTTTGAACAATATGTTTACGTTCCAAATTCGGAAAAATGTCTCTATTACCATTTCGAAACACTAGGATTCAGCTCCGAGAAAAACACTAAATTTAAGCTAGTCGTTTCCAGAATCTTTCTGTCGAGCGATACGTTCTATAACGGATTTCAGGAAGCAAACGAATGTTTATTTTGATTCTTCCCCAGCCACGTCTATTCGGAGAAAATTTCGGAATATTTGTACTCGCATCTGCATGAAACACTTTTGGGAATAGTAGCCTCGTTATCCACACTGGAAATCCCTATGAAGGAGTGCAAATTTCTGAAATTCTTCTGATTCGAAATCAAAAATCTTTCGCCGAACATGAATTTCTATGTTATTGAGTCAAACTAAACCTAAGTAGCTATTAAACTGCCCTTGTTTAACTTTTCTTTGCTTGCACGAATTCTCATCTTCACACTTATTAGAAGTCTATACTCCAAGAGCACAAGCAAAAGATAAAACTTAAATAGAAAGTTTATCAGAAGCCATGTCTTTTTGCAAATTTAAAAGTTAAACAATTCTAACCACTGGTACTTGCGAAATCCCAGGAAATTCCAATACTTAAATACATACTGCATTGATGAAAATTTTCAAAACCTCATTAACTTGGCTCAATTTATCACGATTTCTAGAACACAGGTGGCTATCTCAGGGATAAAGAGATTACTGGTAGGCTGGCATAGTTCTTCCTTTTTCAATACTACTTTATTTGCTATTAAAAAAAAATTTGCATTCTAGCGATGGCACACGGAAGAAAGAGAAATACGGAATAGAATTATCATAAAAATAATGGGTTAACTAAAATAAATTTTACAAATGAATGCACGATTTGAAAAGTTTGCCGGGAGATTCGAAAATTTGCAAGTTTAAATGTTTTCTCTATGAAATTATCCAAGAAAACCAAACATTAGTGAAAAGAATTAAGGCAAAATAGAAGAAACAAAAGGTATGAAAAGAATTAATAACAACAACAGCAACAAAATAGTATTATCTAAAATAAACCTTATATAGTGTTAGGCATTACTCTAAAGCCTTCGGTCACAAGTTCTTTATGCAAACTCGTAACCATCTTATGGAAGCCCTTTATAAAATCTTTCCCATTTAATAAAAATTAGCGGTTAATATAATTAATCACTTACTGTGATCAAATTTTCAAGGAACCAATTAAATTAATGTAAAATCTGCTTTATATTTTTCGCTGTTGCTGGTTATACTTATCAAAACGCAGAAATGTTTCCCTCGAATATTTCTTTTCTTATAAAACGGAAGATCGCAATGTTAAGTTAAAAAAAAATTCAAGATAATAAGGATTTCATTATTTATATTATGGCAAAGCGTAAACGGCTATCTGCATAGAACGCCTTTGTGTCTAACGCCTTCGTAAAGAATGTTTCAAGGACAGCTAGACCGTGGTTTAAGTTTTTGTGATTTCTCCTATGTTCAAGATATAAGGTATTTCTCCCGCCTTCGTGGTGTAGGAGTCTGCACGCTGTGCGCGTATTCCAGAGGTCCGTGGTTCGATTCCCGGCGAAGGTGTTGCTCATTTTTCATCTTTCCCGCTTCCAATTAACCTAATGACTCTACAAACATAACTACGTTGTACATAGAAGAAATCACGAAAAATTTCAGGAATCTGGGTTGGATTACCAAACTTCAGCTGGTTTACCGTTCTGTCACAAGTGGGCCGGTAGAGGTGAGATGCGGATATGAGAGGTGACATCAATCAGGTAAATCGCATTATCTTTTCTGTCACCTTCTCCAACATAGGAGCTGTTCTGACGATAGAAAGTCAGCTTAAATTCGTTAACACGTAGATCAGCTATCCAGTCGGAGAAATGTGAAATGTGAATTGCTTCAGTCTCTTAAAAATTATCGGATGAGAAATGGAAAACAATTACCTGAATCCTAAAACTGTTCGTCTTCTGGATGATAAAATTTCTGTAGCCGATGACAATTTCTAGAAATAAAGAATCAAATATATTGTTACAAGAAAAAAAAAAAAAAAAAACTCATGAACTCATGAAGAAAAAAGGAGAAAATATTCACTTACTCTTTGTGCTTTAGATTGGTTTAGAGATGAAATGCGTCTTGTTGAATGAGCAGGGCTTCTGTCAGAATGAATAGGGACGTATAAAGAATCCCTTTTTAACTGAAAGATGAAAAAAATGTTATTCAAGATGTCTTTAGTTTTTAGCAGAAGATTTCACTTAATTTTGTAATTAAAGAAATAAACAAAACTTAGCAAAATTGAAAAAAATAAATTAAGTTCCATGTTTAATTTTACTAACTAAATATTCATCAAAACATATATAAACGCTAATAAAAGTAACTGAAAGGAAAAACTGAAATTTATATTTTTTTCTATCTGAAAATTAAAGGCTGGTACTTGCAAGAAATTCCTGTTGTGTACATTTTGTAATTCAAACGTATTGCCTGTTGAATAGCTTCAGGCCGAATTTAATGTGAAATAATTCAAATTGTTTAACGTTTAATGCAGTGATTTAAGGACTAAATAACTTATTTTTAGCTTTAAAAAAATGCAAAAATTATGGAAACCTTTCGAAATGGGACAGAAACGGAAAATAAATAATAACAACCTATTCTTTTTCTTTGTTTATTAAACTTTTCTTTGACATATACAGAAAAAATACATATGTTTTTATATGAATAATAATAAATTTCCCTGTTTCTTGCTACAGCGTGACACTTTGAGGTGTTTCGATTCTAATTTCTAGCCTTGGAAATAATATATAAAATTTAATATATAATTTCTGTTTATCCTGTGAAAAAAAAAAAAAGTCCAACGTGTATATATATTTTTAACCCTTTGTTAAAGACATATCTTGTGCAGTTTAATCTCGTAATAAAAAAACCTTAATAACTTTATTTATTAATTTTATTTACAACTTTACCACAACAAAATGAATTCTCGTATAAAAGCATCATTCATAAATTAGGCACAATTTCAAAAGATAGGTATTTATGTAAGGTAAATCTATCAACAAGCACAACTAGGTTTTATTAGTCGTAGATTCGTTCTTCATTTTGCACTACAAGTCTCTAACTAATGAAAATGAATTGCACAGCTGTATATGCAAAATGAATTGCACAGCCGTGTATCCAGTTACTAGTTAGTGATCGACTCAACTATATATCAGATGTACCATTTCAGTAGAAATTCAGAATATTGAAGCTCCATCAACCATCGGCTAGCGAAATAAATATATTAACCGACGAAATTTCTCTCACCTTATCCGAGCCATGTAGCTTGGAATACAAGCACGTGGCTAAGTCCCAAGCTATTCATTCTAGCATTTTCCCTTTCAACAACAGTTGTGCTCATTAAATTCCGTCTAACTAAAAGCTTCTTATTTATAAAAAATATATAATTGGAAAGCATTCGTGGACAGTGCAAACTTGCGTCAGAGGCCACCAGTTTAAGATCACTGGCATAGGGTACCGATTTTCGAAATGCTTCTTGATCACAAGGTCGGTTTTCGGAACGGTTTTTAGCCGCATACATAGTTGCACAGCAGAATATGAACTCTCGCACTTGGAACTCCAATTAAATACAATTTCTGGAACTAGATGGCGCCAACAGAGAGCGGAGCCAACATTTTGGGTAAGTGAGTTCACTAACTATATCTGCTTTGTGAAAAGTCAAAATAAATCTCTGCTTTGTACAGTCACAAGTGGGTGACTACGCTAATTTTCCATTAAATTTCTGAGTCATCGCTGGTTTGACACAATGTCTGATAACAAAATCTGTAAAAAGGAGTAAGCTCTTATCTGTTGGCATGAAAATTTCATTACTAACATGCTCATTTGCAGCAAAGTGCTTGAGAAAACTGGCTGTAAGCATTTTTTTTTTTTTTTAATAATGTCAAATCCATACCTGCAAAAAGCATACAGTATAAAATAAGATAATTTTTTTTTTTTTTAAATTTACATGAAGGTTAAAATAAAATCAAAACTTAGCTCTTTTTCGTTGTGAACATTTGAGTTTCATGTTAAATTCTTCTTAGGCCTACCTTACAGTAATTTTCGATCTGTCTCTTCAGGCGACATTGTATTGTTTCTTTAAAATAATAATCTCTTGAGCTGAATCAAGTTTTTTTGTTTCTTTTCTCCGATAAATTTCCTTTTAAGAATGGCCCAAAACATTTAACTTGAATATGTTCAAGATTCGATTAGATACAAAATAAAATTTTTGGTTATTTAAATATTTGAAATCTTTTCTATAATAGTTGGTAACTAAGCCCGACCAAAATAAAAATTTTCTTTAGATGATGATAACATTAATGAAAGTAATCAAACATTTCTTAATGGATTGATTTAATTGAGAACCACTCATAGTTGCCTAAAAACAAAAGACTGATTTAAACACTGCTCTCTTCGATAATAGTATGTCATACAATTAATTTCTTTTCTTGCGAATTTCTCTTTAAGCTTTATCTTGAAATGTAAATAACAATAGGATTTAGTGCCAGCGCTGAAATTAGGATCAATCACATCATATGATTCTCATTTATGATCAGTTTCCACTCACTAGAATGAAGTGCTTATAAATTTTAAGGCTTTTCAAACTTGAACTTCTTTACCTTTTTGGTATAAGACTTTAAGCCTAGTTCTTCCTTAATTCCATGAACAGTTCATTTTGATTTTTCAGTTTTCGCATAAAATGATAGGAAAAAAATGTGTGTTTGTCAATGAACTTCCCTTTAATCATTTAATCATTTTCACAGCATATTAGATCCTTTTTACAAACATTTTAACTGATATCAACGTGTCCATACTCTTCGTTTTGTTTTAAAACTCGATAAATCGCTGCTTTTGATATTTTTGTAACTTTTAAACATAACTATTTTGCTTATTTGGGCATCTCAAGAGCTTACTTTAAATTTCTTAGTAGCTTTTGTTATTTCATAAATAGCGCTAGAATTTAACGGAAATTGCTATTGTCTTAAGGAATTATTGTTTCCGTAGCAATTAAAAAGAGTACATATTTATCTCTCTTGTCTAATGCTTAGCCAATGCAATTGCCTTATGCTAATGCATAAGGCAACTGCATTGCCTGTGCTTTTAATTAAAAACGTTTTCCAAAATGTGCTCAGAATTTTACAAGAAGAATTTCAGCACTACGAGTGGAAGTGTATGATAAATATTGTATTTATTTCCCTATTTTTCTCCATCTTCTCAGCAATTTTGTGCATAATTAAGAAACTTTTGATCTATTCGCACGATTCTCAGCCTAATATCTGGATAGAGGAAACGAATGTTTTTATAGAAATGATCGTTTCCTAGAAATTTTAGATTGGTATTCGTTGTGTATGCAGTTCGAGGCTACTCTTTATAAAATCCTGGTCAAGGTCATTCAATCTCCTCTCCGATGCAAATAAGAAAGGAAACTGAGTGGTCAGTGACAACAAAGATATTGCAATTATTTTGCGATACTAATACGTTACGTTACTATTTTACAACTTAAGTTTTTAACTTTCCTGTTTCTTTCTTGTTTCTGTCGCAAAAACACGATCTATTTAGAAGTTTGTGGTTTGGCTGTACATCGCATAAAGAAATCACAGTGTGGATTTGATATACACTGTGAATGTCCCACGTAACGAAATTAATCTCGAATGACGAAATGCTGGCAAATTTTATCCCTCAATAAACGCGAAGAAAATTTGTTTTCTTTCTGTTTTAACGGTGAGTAAATAATAATAATAAAAAAAAGATCTATGCATGAGCAAATATAATGAGTAAGAAGACGGACAAGTAAAAATATTTCTGAATATCTTATTACCACTGAAGAGCTGAAAGCCTTCTTTGACACGTCATGAAAAAAACGAACTCTTACTGAAAGAGGAAAACACAAAGTGCCCATGCTAATTGTAAATATTAAGGACCTTCTGAAGAATTGAAAATTAAATTGAGTCTACCTTTCTTAAAACAGAAATTTATTGTTCTGGATAAAGGTCCAGGTCACAGTCAAGCAGTGGCGCATCTCAATACGCTGAGATGAACAGAATGGCTGATGTGTTTTATGATATGACTTCAGATCCATCTTGAGGAAGAGGCAAACCAGCTTAGACAGCTTCTTAAAATTTGCACTTCCCATAATAACCAAATGCACGTGTTCAAGAAAGTTAGAGATAAGCTAATTCTTCAACCTCAGTAGGAAGATTCAAACTAAACTGAATTTCAAAACAGGAAAACTGTGTGCATATATCTAATCATATATATATCATATATGTAAGTAAATGTTTCTTAGAAGCAATGAATTAGAAAATATCTAACATTGACAGTGTTTTCAATATACTGCGAAATTTTTTTATGCTTCAACGCAATTTTCTACCATGCTTGTTTAAAATTATTCGCATAGTATCCTACGAGAAACAGCGTCACGCATAATGAACATCATTACGCGGATGACGCTCATTATACAAGAGCCGTTCGTGTTATATTACCGGCAGTTTTATTCTCAGTTACCGTGCTTAGATACGTTTTCCCAGTACGAAAAGCACGTCTAAGATAAATAAATATTAAAAAAAATCTGATGTGTACACCCTATGACTTCCTTGTATTGGAATATTAAATTATACGCATTTTTTCTTGCATTTCATTTAAACTTATTGGATTGAATTAAATTTACTTCGCCGACAGCGCATAAACCACAATAGAATAAATGCATTCTTTAAAATTCACTCTAGTTTTTATTTACCGTAGCCACACTCTGGCGCTAGATTCACTTAACAGTATTAATAATTATATAACAGTTAACTTATAAAATAATTTTATAACGGAAACTAAGTTAACTGTTACATAATCCAATAATTATTATAACAGTTAACTTATATATTTCGTTCATATTATAACTCATAATGCACAAAATTTATATCATTTAAAGAATAGAATTATCTAATCGTTGCCACATATTCTATTCAAATACTATAATAAAGCTAGAATGATGTATAAAAGAAATTAAGCAAACAAAACAAAAAAGAAACAGTTTTTCACAGACGATTGAGTATTTCTCATTTAATTAATTCCGTTCTCACTTCGCGAGAAGGCAAAAATACATAAAAACTCAAAATATCTAAATTAAAAATTACGAAGTAAATCTTAAACACTTATTTCCTCGAAAAAATTCCAGAAAGGATTAAGCATGATTTAAATAATAAATGAAGGCGTTATCTTTGTTGTTGCGAAGCTAAGTTTCCCTAGATTGGCAACAAATCCACTAGTCTCCTGTTTCAAATGTAAACATCAATGGCCGCCATTAAAAAAGGCTTAACGGGAATTAAAAAACTTTAAAATTGCTGATAATTCTAAAAATATTGCACACAGATTTACTAAAGGCATAAAATCCTTAACCGGAAGATAAAAACAACATAATTCAATCATTTTTAAAGCACAAAAAGGAACAATTTACCAACATATAAGAGTAAAGAAACTGAGATCACTAAGCCGGGTAACAGAGTGGATATATATATAAATATATTATATACGTTTGGTGCGGCCGATTGTAACCAAAATACGAGGTGCACATCTACATGTTATAGCAGTCCTATATACGAAATTTCAACGTTCTGAGGCTACTCGTTTTTGAGTTATGCGAGATACGTACGTACGCACGCACGTACATATGTTCGTACAGACGCCACGAAAAATTCTCTTCAGAATTAATTTTAAAGCAGTTTCATAATTTTTTGAAGGAAAAGAGTATTTTATTCTGTCCTTCTGTTTTTGCGTGATATCCGTACAGATATCACGCAAAACATCGTTAAATTGCATTCGATAGCGGTCAAAATGGATATTTTCGTTGAAATAGGCTGCCTGAAACTTTTCGCGATTACAATACTTCCTTTTTACTTCGTACAAGGAAGTAAAAACAAGCACCTTTTATATGCATTCTTCGCATCACTCAATCGGATTTTATTACAGTTGAGCTTTCGCTAGTGACAGATAAATACTAGGAATAGGAAATTCGAATCACCGAATCACTCGAGTTTTAAAAATGATCTGAGATTCGAAAATTTGAAATTTCGACTTTTTTCAGGATTATTTAATCCTACCTTAAGAAATCTTTAAACATTTTAATTCAAATTATTTCTAAATATTAATCATATTGATGTTCAACAGATGCAATTATTAAAATTGAACGCAATTGGCTGCTTGATGATACAGTAGCAAAACTTTGTTTGATCAAATGATAACTTTAAAATCTTCAAATGTTCATAACATGTATTTTTTTAAAATTCCACATATGCCGGCATTAAGATACTTACTTGGTTCTTCTTGTAAGGGGTGATGAAGAATGTTTCCATATCCAGTTTATTCAAGTACTCGTCCCTTATGTTTCCATTGCCAGGTTCAATGTTATATTTGCCTTGGAGCAAATCTTTCGTGGCTCTGCTCACATGCACACATCTGTAAAAACACTTCCGCTTAAAGCCATCGTATAAAAAATAATGCGGTAATAAACATGGTAATAATTATATTAATATCCGAATAATTGGATTGTAAGGTTTTACTCTGTCATGTCTTTGGCTTCTGTTACAATAATTCATCCAATTATTGTAACATTAATTTATGTTTATGCAAATTTCAGTTATGCGAGGGTAAAGTTGAATATTGCAGTTTCTTAATGCAAATTACGCTAAATGCCAGTGAAAATAGTTTCTGTTTCAAAACGTGCACAGATTTTGAAGATTTCTTTTAACAGACCTTTACGAGTTAACTGGAAGCTCAAAATGGAGAATTGGGATTACTTTCACGCGCCTATTTGGTACGGTAGCTAGAATTACAAATACTTTACTTAACAGTAAAGAACTGAAGCTACAAATAAACTACAGAATAAAAAGGTAGCTCAAATGCAGTGATGAAATTAGAACAATATGCTCTAAAAACAACGGATCATGTTATCTTGTTATGGTAGAAGCTAGGTCAGCATCTCTCTAGTACCATAAGTGATTGAGATACTGCTGTACTTAACTAACTGTTAAGCTACTGCCCCCATTTAAAATTCCAAGAAACACCTGGGAAGTGGTCCAAGTGTCTGCCACCCCTCTTTTCCTGCCATCAGCTTCTCGACAGAGCTTTCAACTCGCCATGCGTGCCCTTTGCTTCACAGACACTTATACGTTTATAAACACGCATGCCTTCCACGGCTTTCTAACTCGGGGAAGGCATGGATCGGCTGGAATCTTCAGAATGCTTCATTAACCATTCTTCTATCTGGGAAACTGTTGCTATTGACAGGTGGTAGTATGTCCAGACACACGGGCGGCTTATAAGGACTATCCGGGTATCGTCCGGAATCCGCAATTATAGAACGCAAGAACTCCCTGGGACGCCAGCAGCGCGGCGTCAAAATTTAATAAGAAACTTTTGATTGTACACGGTCTTACGGGGGGGACAAGGTATAAGACAACATGTTGCTATTGACAGGTACAGGTTGAAATGTAATAGGGCACCTAATGTTTTCTACAAATAAATGTGTATAGCCTTATTAGACATCCATTTTTATTAATTTTGAATGTAGTAAATAAATAAATGCTTACAATTGGTGCTTTTGCACTTACAAACTTTGCAGTCATTTCCAGAATCTTGGTAGTACAAATTTTGTGACAAGTACAATTTTTTTTCTTTTTCTTTAGTTTGAAGAATTTTGTCATAGTATATAATTAATCATACACTATAAGAGCAGACTTGACGCTATCATGACTTGCTATATTGAAAGCAGACTAAAACGCTATCATTACTTGTCAGACACTGTTCACTAAATGCTACTTACCCTGGTCTTCCCGACTGTTCCATACGGCTGGCAATAGTGACATCACGGGACCAGATATCAAATTGCCATTTGCGAAGGCCAAGTAATCCACTAAGCACATTACCGCTGTGAACACCTATGCGCATATCAACATTGACATGTGTCTCCTCACGAAAATTTCTATAAAAATAATCAAAAGTGTTTTTTAATAGTATGCATATTTCATCAAAACAGCATGAACATAAAGGAAAAAAATCAGAAATAAGGTTTAAGAATTGGCAAGAGATGTGAAAGTGGAATCCGTCAACTAAACAAAACTCACATGAAAAACGTATCACGCACGCACGCACACACCCACCCACACACAAAAAAAGAGATACGCTTGTCAAATTAAAGTCACACATTCTAAGCCACTTAAAAATACAAAGTCACAAATATACCATAGGATAAGAATTGAAAGGCATTTAAATCAAAACCATCGACAATGTAGTTACAAGAGATCATGTAAGGCCCATTTGATATGAATTATGTACAGGCGCCATTCACGATTTCGAAGTTGTAAGAAAACGAAGCTCTTTTCTCCTCGTAGGAAAGAACAAAGACCGGATTCACATTCACTTTACTTGCTTTAATCCTGCACAGTTTCTGCATTTTTAACTTGTGTCCCCTACGAACACTCTGTTATTATCATTAATTACGTCATATGTGTAATCTCTCATAACAAGATTGTAGTTGGTTTGGAATTCTGTAGGCTTTCAGTTCTTATCCTATAGTACTCTTGTTACCTCATACCTATCGAGCGGCTTCAAACTAGGAATTTTAGTTTGACGTACTTATAAACTTTGCGATGAAATTTCATTTCAGTTGCTTCGATTATCATATTTCCGTTTCATTCGGAGTCATCCTTTATGAGTTATTCAGAGCTCAATTCTTTATGAGTAATTCAGAGCTCAATTCTTTATGAGTAATTCAGAGCTCAATTCTATATGAATTTTGGCAATTCTTAATGCATAGATAGAATCGAAGGTTATTTCAGTGAATTTTTTGAAAGAACAATTTCAGCTGACTGAAAGAACAGATGGAAAAACTGTGCCTGTAAGCAGAAGCTTCCCTAAGCATTTAGAAATGCATAATGCGATGTTTCGCAGTCAAAATGGCAGTCAAGTGCTGCTGTAGATTGTCATATATATTGTATGCGGTGTTTCACACTCAAAATGGCAGTCACATACAGCGATCGCGATGCGCGACCACTGAATCTCGGGTTCGAAAAACACTTATTCAAGAATACATTATTTCGCAAAAAAAAATGGTCGTCCTTTTTTTTTTTTTTTTCAATTTTAATGTCTTCCATTTTTACTGAAAAGATTCTACGTTCTAAAAGCTAACTCTTCTAACCCTGGTAACGTAGCAGTTATACCCGGGAACTTTGTAGAGACATTAGGTTATTTCGAAGCAGAAGAAGTGAAAGATGAGCAATGCCCTCGCCGGGACTCGAACCACGGACCTCTCGAATACGCGCCGAGCGTGCTGACCACTATACCACGAAGCTATGCTAAGAAGGCGGTAGAAATACCTTATAACTTACCAATTAAAGCAACAAACAACAAAAACAGCGTAACGTGAACGAATTAACAGGGCTAAAGTTTCGAAGGGGAAATAAAAACTTCTTCCTCAGATGAGAGAGCGAAAATGATGAAAATTAAATTATGTGCCTACGTCATGAAAAGAACACAGAAGTTCTAATGTGGTGTAACTAATGTAAAAAACGAAGTGTCTGACGCCATCTGTAGAAAATTGGGGGGGGGGGGAAAAGGCAAAAAAAAATTTTTTTGAAACGCTATCGGTAAAGAATTATTATAACTGGGGCTATATAAATCACATCAAAAGATTTTTATTGATATGAAATGCCTATAGGAAATCTTATTCCCCAACGTAAGATGTTCTTTGAACTATTTTGGCTGCAGAGAAATAGAAAATGTGACTTTTTCAGTAGCAATAATCGGCAATGAATTTCATTACTCTGAATTTAAGACTTGTGCTTTTTTATGGTAAATTTTAAAATTCTTCTTGCTTGCGCAAATATATGTTAAACGACATTGACAAGGAATGGTTATATAGTAATACCCAAACAGTTCATATCTGGAATGGAGTTTTTAAGTATAAAACTGTGAATTTTATTAAAACTGAAAAGAGCATTTGAAGAAAAAGCTTTGATTTAATTTTTGAATCTATAGTCTTGCAAAATTACCTCTGTGATGCTGTTTCTGTTGCGTCTTATTAGTTCTTTAACAATTAAATTCTTTAGTGGTTTCTTTTTTTTTTATGTGTGTGTTATAAGGTACTTTCTCCCTCCTTTCTTCATGCCTCCATGGTGTAACGGTAGCACACTCGGCGCGTATACGAGGTCAAGGTTCGAGTCCCGCCATGCGCATTGCTCACTTTTCGGGTTTCCTACTTTAAAATTCCTAATGCCTCTACAGTTTGTTTGTGTGTCAGAAGCTATTCGTTGACGGTGTTGGCACAGTACATTATAAAAATTAACAAGAAATCAAGAAATGCATTTATTGTTCTTAATCGTTTAATCTATAGACGATTACAGATTTATTAAACTTAAAATAAATTTAAGAGATGTGTACAGACATTAGGCATTTCTAAGCAGAAAATGTAAGAAATGGCAGGTGCCCCCGCCGGGATTCAGACTCCAGACCTTCCAACTGCCAGTCGGATGACATACTGATTTTATATGTGAATAATCGATAATCCCTGCTTAGTAGATTGTTTGTGAATGGTAGCAGAAACAAAAGTGCAGATATGATAAAAACAAGATAATGCAACATAAAGTAACGCACCAAACATTGTAAAATTACTCCGCTATATCAATCACTTTTTGATTCTTTAGAACGACTGTTTTAATTTTCTCACGCTGAAAATATATTAATTTGTTACTGTACTTGAGTAAGAATTATAAGTATTTCCCTGCAGTTGTGTTGATAGCAGGGAAAATGTTTTACTTGCTCACCTGATAATGTCTATCATATCTAACGCCATCTGCACACAGTGATCAGCATGTTGGGGATCGCTGTCTGGTACCCCGGATACACAGTAGTAACAGTCACCCAGTAACTTAATACGAAGGCACGAATTGCGCTGAAAGATAATAGTTAAGTTATACAAGACAAGCAATGTTTAACAAATAGAAAACAAAATCCTCCAAATTTTAATCCGACATTTCATCATAGAGAATGTAACAAATAAATCCCCAGCTGGATTTTTTTTTTTTTTTTTAATAAGTGTGTTATCTGTTTTGGGAAGGAAGCTATCATGGGGCAGGGGCTTTTAACAGCAATTTTGCTAAAATTGCACAAAAAATAGCTAAAATTGCCCATGGGGAATGAACTAGATTTACCGGATTATGGCAAAGCACGTTAGAGTTATTTAACCTTTTTAGTACCGAGCGAAAGTATCGTACTATGCAAAGAATACCGAGCTTATTTGAGGAATTTACTAAGGTTTGGAAATAAAGCTCCTAAAAACCGCACTGGGAATGATATTTACAAAATTCAAAAAGCAGCGTATTACGAAATAAAGAAAGGAAAATAGAAAAAAATATCTGAAAGGTTTCAGATTTTAAATTACGTTCAAAGGGGCGTTTTTTAATGTTTTGTGTGTTACCTTTAATTATTAAATATCATATTCTTCGCACTTAAACCATAAAATTCAGTTCAATAGTAATGTCGCAAAATAATTTTAAAATGAGCCTATCTTTAGAATATCCGATACACAGTAAGTACTGGAGATAAAAAAGTTCCCCCCCCCGTAGAATGTAGCCATTGCTGGCTTTGAAATCCTTGAGTTTTTAATCAAAAGTTTTTAAGTTTACAAAATTTGAAATCGATCATAAAACAAATTCCAAGTTCAAATTTGGTCTTCAAATGCCCATATTCGTAGGAGGATTTTCGTCATCAAAATCGTGGCTCTATGTACCGTGTTTTATCACAATGCGAGAAAATACATTTACGCGAGTTTTCATTATTTAATTCTTCAATAAATGCAGGGACTCTAACATTTGGTGGCAACAGTTTGAAGTGAAAAAGGACATTCATAGTGATTCAACGCAAAATCGCAAAAACGAAAACAATGTCCTTCAGGGACAAAGCCCCTTTAGACTAATAAAAAATTAAATGCAAAATTAAATTAAAACGCATATTTACATAAATTGACAAATAATATATTACATATATATAAATACAAGTAAGACAAGTCTTTTAACAACGCATTCACTTTAAGTGATGTAACTTTCATAAACTAAGAGGATTAGAAGTTAAGAAGAAGAGATTTACGGTAAACTGATTCAGAGTCAGTATTCCGCCTCGGCTTACCTCGGCGCTGTCATCAAAGCGTCCAAACAATTCGTTCAGCGTTTCCACGAGTTCACTCACGTGTAGAGATGCTGTCAAGGCAACAGAATTCACGATGTCAGCGTACAGAATGCTGCAAAAGAAGTCAGAAGAAAAGTGTTATTCGTTGTCTTATTACAATCGCCCGATTGCTGAGAAAAGAATTTGCATGCGTCGATGCGCCACAGTATGAGAGCTGAGAGTGAAAACAAAGCGTGTAACAGGAAATCAGCTGTTGAAGAACTCTAAATATCAGAACTATCTTGGAAACGCAACCCATTGGAATAATTTTGATAGTCTGTTACATTCTGCAGGCCAACTATTTATTGATTTTAACTTTGTAAAGTTTATTATAATTAGCAAATTATTTGTTATGTTGAAATCCGCCCTGCACTTCTACAGTTTTTCCAACTCCACAAGAATATGTAAATGAAATGCGTTTTAAATAGGAGCAAGAATTTAAGTTTAGATATAAGTTTGGGTATTTCAGCTTGCTTTAATGATTCTCCTGCGTTATTTTCTGCCTTCAGCACGTTTATTATCAGATGGTGAATAGCATAACAAGACTGTTATGTTTTGTATTTAAATTTTGACTTACAGTACTTTGGATCATTGTTATTTAGCATTCCACAAGAAGATTGTTTCTTCGTTTATTGAGTTACATTTTCGAAAAAAAAAAAGATATATATTTGAAAAAATTACCTTTATTGCCGAACTTATCTACTATGCAATGATATATTCTCAAAACCTAAACATTTGTTAAATGGTGGAATGTGATGTGTTATTGGTACATAATGCACTGGTGCCTCGCATATCGGATGCGCACATAACCGAAAATTATCCGCCGCGAAGAATTTCGTCCACACAAACAAAATAAATTGTTTTAATTCATATTTTAAAAGCATGTAAACACAAATTCTGATTTGCTCAAAAAAAAGAAAGACGGGCCAAGAAGTGGTAATTATACTGAATCCAATATTAAACAATACATAGAAAGGAGAGAATATTAAGAGAATAATAAACTAATTCTAATATTACACTTATATACTAAAGGTTAGAGGAAGTAAAACGAACAGAGGCTAGAACAGATAAATACTTTCTTTAATATTATATTGTTAATCATACTAATCAATATTAATACTAATACATATTTAATAACATATAATATTAATACTAATAAACTAATTATAATATTAATAAAGGTTAGAGGAAGCTGACTGCTGTTCCGAACTCCAGGATGCGAGTTCAACCCTCGTATAAAGCTTGACTTGTTGCGCGTGTTCTTTCCCGCAAGAAGGGTAGATCGATATTTCTTGCGAATGAAATATCAGTCTACTCATTGCGGTGCAACTTTTCTTGGTGATAAAATGACTAAAAAAACCTATGAGTTCGGTCGGTTGGGAAACAATTGTATTCCGATAAAAGCAATTCCTTCTCGACCAAGAACAGTAGTCCAAGTCCAAGACCAACTCCAGAGAGAAGCTTCTTTTGGTGAGTAGAAAGGTTACATAAGTCATTGATGCCAACTACAACCATCAAGAACTTTCTGGAGAAGTGGGAATTTATTCGATCTCCAATTTTTTAAAACATAAATTTGTTTAAGTGGGTAATGTTCTAGGTCACAGCCAAATAGAGGGTATCACAACATGCCAACATGAATGGCTGATTTGTTCACTGAAAATATTATTCTTAACTTCAGAACCATCCTGAAGAAGAAGAAGACCCCTTCCTGAAACATATTGTTACGAAATGTAAAGGCGCGGTGAGATGGCTTCCCCGCAAAGCGGTTTTAGGGTTGCCATAAAATGGTAATGGAAGGCTGGGTTGCCGCATTTGGCGAGAAATCGCCCGTTGGCGATACAAATGGCGATATACCATGCAGTTGGAGAACTTCTGGAGATTCTTACCGGTTTAGTACAGAATGTTCCCGAACAAAAGCGAAGCTTATAAACACTGCGGTCGCAGTCAGTAAGTGTGCTTCTCGAGGGAAGAGTGGTTTCTCATTGAGAATTTGTGAGCATCGTCTCGCGAGTCAATCCTGCGAAGTCGATCGAATTGGAGCCGGGCAGCGAGTGCCGAGTGCGTCGTCGAGCCACGAGGAGTCTGTTAGTGTTGCGCGGTTAGGCATCGTCGAGAGATAGTTGTTGAGCTCCGGAAAGAATGACGAAGAGTCGGGGCTGTGCTCGTGTGTCGCGATGATCGCGAGTTGTGCCGTGGAGAGTCTCGAGAGTACATGGAGTTCCGGAAACCAAGAGAGCGGGAGCTGTACTTCGGAAAGCAGAGTCGGCGTTGCAGGAAGCTGTCCACAGTGATAGCCTGATAACCTGAAGGCTGTGTCGCGATCGTGTCAGCGTGTTTATATCGTTCATCGACGACATGTTAAAAGTGTTTGGAAGCTGTCCTGACATGCTGGCTAATAAAGTGTGTTGCGATACTTCATCAAGTGTCGTCGTTATTCCTCCAAATCTTCGCAACCCGTACAAACGTGAAGGAAGAAAACACGAACAACTGGTTCAGAAGAATAAAAAGAAAAAAAAATAACAATTGTGTCAGGAGTGGGGTTGGCGAGTGAATGCCAGTGCTCCCGTTAAAGAAAAAAATACTTTGAGTATTTTCTAATTAAAATTAAATTTACTAATAAATTCTCGCATTTTTAATAGTGTTTTTTTTTCTCTGTATTCTTTACAGTGTTTCGCGGTTTTTACTGGGTGAGAAGACTTAGTGGCAATAGGAAGAACGATTCGCATAACATCGTATACCGAACCAGGCAAATCTATTATGAACTTGTGGTTTTTTACGCCTGCGCGAGAAGTCGCTGTCATTAGTAGATCTAGATTAGTTTGTGGCCAGGGAGTTAGATCGATAATACTTAGTACAATTTTTAATTGCAAGTCTGACATGCTAAACACCTATATCTAAATAATTTAACAGATTCTTAAAACTTATACATTAATAGTTTTTTTGATACTTAAAAAACGGGAAAACCTAAGATCAGTAGTATACAAGTTTATCTTATTTTAAAGAACAAACCAAATAACTCATTGATGCGTCCTTCTAACTAATTATTGTTTAAAACATATTTTCCTCTTTTCTACAAGTTACTTCTTTAAAAAGATACCATATTACCGATAAATACCATCTTCATATTCATCGTACAATTTTTGCTTGGGAAAGAAAAGGGAAGAATCAGAGTTATTTCATAGGCCTCATTCTACTAACAGAAAAAACTAATTAAGTTTTCAGCACCACTGACCTATCTGATAAGGATTAATATTTCATGCATATCACATTTTAAGTAATTTATTAAATGACCAAGTAAATGTATTTATTGTCGTTTAATTAAAATGTTTATCTTCGAATTTCCGCGCTATTCAAAATCATTCTACTGAAATATTCATAAAATTCAATTGCAGCACCGCCAGTTGAGAAAAATAAAAAACGAATAAATTAGAAATACTTGTAGGTAAGGTTTCAAGAAAAGCCTTTTAGAAGCCTTTTAAAAGAAAAGGCTTGGAATCCAAACCATACTCTGATTTCGATGGATTAATTTATACTAGCTGCAGTATAAGAGGCTTCAGGGTAATTACTTAAAGAAGGCTTTTGGATAATACAACGAAATTAGAGATAGAAGAGATATTAATTTTCCTTTTCTTATATGATCCGCATGCTCTTGCGGAGTTTGCATAATGCGGAGTTTCACTTCTGACTTCGTTTTGTCGATTATGTTTAAAAAGAAGGATTTTGATTGAGACTTGAAGTTTTTCTAGCAGTTAAGCTTAAATTAAACACTGTTCCATCTTCTCTTTAATTCACATCACATGGTTTCGTTCATATCAGAAGGTTACGCAAATTAACAGCACAAGAAAGGGTTTAGAAATTATGTAGATTAATTGTAACTCATGACTTCTAACAGAAGCTTAGCTCTCAATAGCAATAATGTCATTTGCCGTGTGAGATGGTAAAAGATTTTTGAGTTCTTATTTGGTCTGAACCAACTACGCTGACTGGCAGAAATTAATCCTGCGATCTTCAAATTGGCATGCCACCTAAACTTTATTACCTATTCTCGATAGGCTACTGATTATTTCATGTCATGCAGTTTTTTAGCTTTAGTTGTAACCCACCAGGTTCTGTTTTTGAAGTCAGCTAATAGTTCAAGACGATAACTTAATTATACTCAAAAAGAACTTGCGTGAAGAAAATTAGACAGGCAGACTTGGAAGAACAGTTTAATAGAAAAGTTATAACGTAATATTCTGCACCACTTACCTAACGTTCCGATGTTTTTCGACAAAGAGTTCTGTGAAAGGACGCTGAGGCACGGGGTCGAGATTGATCCGACGAATAACCTCACGGATGCCTTCCCTCACCTGTACCGAGATATGCTTGGGTAGAACACTCAAAAGAAGACGTTCCTGTAAGAAATACATAAAACTTCTGGATAAATTTTAAAGAAATATGAATGTACATACACTCACAATATTTTACTTGGATTCAAAACTACTTCACACATTATTGTGTGCTTGCTTCGAAAAAGACAGGAACCTGGAACCAATTTGTCAGTCCCAAGAATTACATCAAGTGATCTGCGAAGCAACTGTGATTAACTTCTTGAAGATGCTTGGGTACGTATAATTTATCAAAGGCCTTCGCCCTACATGCCTGAATGCATTAAGAGAGGACTTAAGGTAAGTGCTGGAAGTATAACGAGAACTATTTTCTAGAAGAGTGCTAAGATCCATTATTTTTGTTGAAAGTAGCCTGAACAGCACAGGTCGTGAAGTATAATACTTTACGGCAGGCGAATGTATATCCTAGATAGCGGAAATGACGCCCTTTAGCAAGATAAGGTTCTACCACATGAAATGAAGAATTTAAAGAAAGGTTTTAAGGGTGTAAACAAGACTTCTGTTACTCAATGGTCTCAGTTCTTCAGCCAAGAATCCATTAAAGATTTTTTTAAATTTTGAATTACGCCAGCAGCATCTTCCCACTTTCATAGTTTAGGAACGAAGGTAGTTTCTCCCTCATCCCTGCTGCCAAATATTAATAGTACATCCAGTGTTTTATAAGATATTTGCTCCCACTTTTCAGCACGCAATAAGGCGCTCAAATGCTAGGGTTACCTGCTTAAGAGAATGGATGCTAATGTGGAGAATTTGCAAAAAGAAACTGGCTTGTATTCAATTTACACATGGGAAAACCACAAAATCAGCCAAGCAAGCATTTCGTTCTCCTGGATTTGAACCCGGGATATACTAACAGTGTTTAGCGGTTTTATCTATTCGGGATCAATATCGATTTCCTAATTGTCGCACTGAGTGCGTACGCGCCTATCCTTTTCCGAAATACACTCTTCCTTAAACTGAAGAAATATTTATCACACTTTTTTTAAATGCTTTGTTCATGCGCTTTTACGATTCGCAATAATATAAATTTTATTTTAAATAACGAGACTTACTTTGTTTCTTAGCTATCTTGAGAACAAGTAAATCATTCTTTAGAAACATGACAACAGAAAACAATGTTGACCATCGTCATTAAATGCATCATTAACTGTCACCGAACAACAAAGACGGAAACTATTACAGACGCTGGATTCACATAATGGATCATTGCGAACAAAGAACATAAAAATAGAACAAAACAGCGACAGGAGCTTTTTCCGAACTTTCTTAAGGTAATAAAAGCAAACTAAAGTTCAAGTTGGGAATGAATAGAAATGAGTTTTTCATTATTAATTTCAAGTAAATTGTTTCTTCATTAAGAAAATGCAGTACACTTTTTAACCTCTTTTGTAATGGTAGCGTAAGGTTTTGAAGACTTTTACTATTGTAAACTGTGACCAAACCCTTGATAGACGTAAAGTGACTTATCCCCACGTCTGAAAATATAACAGAGACTTTGAAGATTGTATACGACCCTTTATTTTAAGCTAAATAAGATGGACAGAATGCGCAATTCGTGCTTACAAAATCCGCCAGCATTTATAGTGAGAATTCAAAAGCAGAAATTCATTTGTAAAGCTAATTTAAATAACTAATGACCAACTGCTACACAGAGAGCTTTATCGCGAAGCTGGCGCGTACTTCACCGCCGTGACTTTAACTAGTATCATCAAGTATAATGTAAAGCCGAAGATAGCAGCCCTTATCTTAGAATAGCAACTTAGTAAAGTGACTTTTAAGAGACAGAATGAGCTCTGTCTTAAAACTCTCAAACTATCACTTAAATACATGTAAGCAAATTTGTATTCCGGAGGGAAAAGAGAAAGACAGAAGTAACAGTAAAGTTTACAGACATAAAATGTTTAAAATAAATAAATCTCTCATCAGTATGATGTTGAAAAATATCATACGTATTGAAAATATGAAAATTAAAATGCTCCTTCTTATCCGATGTCTGCTTTTAACTACTGATGCCATGTTTTTGTTAAGAATTTCTTTTGTCGAATCGAATTTTCGCTGACAGTTATAGATAGAATGCACTCTAAGATTCAGTTCCACTGAGATAACATATTACCTCTTCTAAAATATACAGCTGCAGTTCTTAATGAGATTGTCCTGCATTAAGTCAATGTATTACTTCTTCCGAAAAGTAGAGCTATAGCTTTTAAAAAGACTGAAGTATATTAAGACAACATACTCTGTCTTCCGGAATATAAAGCTGAAGCTCTTAATAAGGCTGCAATGTGCTAGTACTTCTTCCATACAGTAAAATCGCTAGTGCTAGTCCCTAATAAGACTGAATAATATAGAGATTACACGTTATTTCTTACAGAAAGTAAGAACTGTGGCTTAAGGTTACGCTGAATTAATACAATACATTATTTCTTGCAGAAAGTATAGCTGCAACTTTTAATAAGACTGCATTTTTTAAATTATTTTCTGTTACTACTATTTCTTCTAACAGCTATCACCAGAACATAAATTAAGACGACGAAAACAGCAAGCGAATCTGCAGTTTATAATGACAGGAATGGCAGCTCGCCAAACACCGTTTATTTGCTGAGACGTCCACCTAGTGCCGATCTGAGTTTTGGTGACTAATTTCGCATTTGTCAGCTTGTAATGTTAAAAGCTGCGGTAGGCACTAAAGTCATCCGAAATTTTGTACATATTTTCAAACCTGAATTGTTGTAAACTCGCAATTAGGGCGGTGGTTAAATTATAGTAATAATATAAGTCGTAACTTTTACTGATTTTTTTAATTAGATTTTACCTCTTCTCTTAGTCTTGAGGTTGAGAATTCTAATTAAGTGCAAAAACAAGAATTGGGCATAGGAAGGTTAAACAAGTATAGTTTAGTAGTTAAATAGGATTAACTTAGTTATGGCATCAAGCTGGGAAAACAATGAATGGGAATATGAAAACTGAGAAATCATTTACATACTCTGATTTTATAAACTGACAGCAGATATTATTCCGGTTGACGAAGCTTTATATATGTTCAATGAGTACCAGCAATCAACCGTTATTTCAATTAATTAATTCAATTAATTTCGAGAACGTTCGAGTCTATTACGTAAGCGCTCCTATAAATAGGGAACTCGCGCCATTTTGTGTCAGAGATCGCTGCCTCTACTGCTGTTAAGACCTCTGCCTCCCTTTGTTCGAATAATATTAGGTAGCAAATTAAAAGTTAATCTTATCTTAGTAAAGAATAATGATTTGCCATTCGAATTGAATAAAGATGTGGAATCAAAACAACTAACTTCTTCTGTGTCATCATTTCATGCCAAGCTTCATTCATGTGCCCAACTGCCAAAATATTACACAAACACACACACACACACACACACACATATATATATATATATATATATATATAATTACAAAACAATTTTTTAATTAACATGCCTAATATTTTCGCGCATCTGTTGAAAAATTATAAGTAAAGACATAAAGTAAGAAATAAGAGAATCAATTTTACACCAAAACCAAAACTTGAAATTCATAAGTAATAAATTTCTAAAAATCCTATAAATATAAAAATAATTTAATAAATGCTAAAACTAGACGACTTCGAACAAGTAAAACCGTAATTCAAAAATTAAATGAAATATAAAAGTAGAGGAATTCAATTAACTTCATGCCACTTCGTCAGGAGGAGGAACATTGCAATTAATTAAAATTTCTCTTCTGTAAAAAAAATCCTTTCCTTTCTGTATCCAGAATTAGCTGATGAACCATTACAATGTATTTTAATTATAATAGTTCACCCAAAAATTCTGACACCTCCTCAAAGCAAGGAAAAAACAAAGTAAATTCATACCAAAATTTTGCCTTGACACAAAGAGAACTTGGGTTGATAAAACGAGTACCAAGTTCGCTTGGAGACTAAACACTGGAGGTCCTGCGACCCAAGCTGACCACTTGCTCAGGCATATGCTTACGCACCCAGGGGCCCACGGTCAAGAAAGCAGATTTCGGGCATTGCAGGCCTTAGGGCTGTTACGGCACTGAATTAATTTTTTTTTAACAAAGAGAATTCTATCCAGAGAATTGAAAACTTGAGGGAAATTATAAAATACTTGAGTAAAACGTTTTTAAAAGGTACTGGAAGTTTTTAATTATTTCTTGTAATTCCGTTTGGATTAAGTCTTTTCACTCAAGTATTTTATAACTTCACTTACATTTTCAATTCTATGGATACAGTTCTCTTTGTATCGAGGTAAAATTTTGATATGAATTTACTTTGTTTTTTCTTGCTTTGTGGGGGGGGCAGAATTTTCGGGTGAACTATTATAATCAAAATATATTGGAATGGTTCATCACCTAATTCTGGATACAGTAAAGCAAGGATTTTTTATACAAGAGAGATTTTAATTGATTTCAATGTTCCTCCTCCTGACCAAATGGCACTGAAGTAGATTGAATTCCTCTTCATTTATTTTCTTTAAATTTCATTTATTTTTTATTAGAGTTTTACGTGTTTGTATTTTAGTGTTAACATTCATTAAAATCTTTTTTACATCTATAGGATTTTTTTTAATTTATTACTTACGAATTTCAAGCTTTGGTCTTTGTGTAAAATTGGTTTTAAATTTCTTACTTTATATATATATATCAGAGCAATTCATTTCGAATTAAAAGCAAATTAAGACAAACAATGATTCTAAACAGCAGCAAACAGTTCTTTATCTGCTCATCAATAAACATTCAACAAGAACCTATCGCTAGAAATTTATTCTTTTTTGCAAGGAATTATGAGCCGTAAAATGCTGATAAAAACAATGCTGTTTGCATAACTGATTAAATTCTACTGTTCTTCCGTCTTTCCGATAAGATTTCTTTTTTCGCCTCTCAGTATCATAAAGACACTTCCCTTCCTCTTGGTAGAAAACAAAAATAAAGAAAATTTTTTATTTAAATCAGACATATCGATGATAACTTAACAGATTATCAGTCGTGGA